AGGGGGGAGGGGGGAGGAGGGTGTGGAGGTTTTCGTTGCATATCGCGATGTATTGCAATGTTGGTTCTTGTTGGTTCTTGTTGGTTCTTGTTGGTTTGGTTTGCCTGACCGTGCTGGGTGCTGGTGAGGTACCAGGTATGGAAGTTGGGGTGATTGGGGTGTGAATAAGTGGATGTGGATAGAGAGAGTATTGGGGTTGATTGTTTGATTGTTTGTTATAGGGGGGGGAAGGACTAAAGGGGAGAAGAGAAAAGCGATAGGTAGGTACGAGGAGGTATTGTTAATTCTTTTTATATCATGGTAGTCAATGGTCTTACTTAAATCAAACTGTTATCTTATTCCTCGAGTATCCCGCTTCCTTTGGAGAAATGAAAATCGGTTGTTTTTCAAATTTTAGGATAAGTAAATATAGGTAGTTCGTGTCCCTGGTTATGGAGTTTTTGATGTAGATTTTTGTTTTTGGAGGAAGTTTTACTACCTAAGTAGCGACATAGGTAGTTGATATGGGGAGAAGGTATTACTGTAATACTATTTTTCCTGGTCTACTTGTAACCGGAAGAAAGGAAAGAGGGGGTGAGGGGATCTTATTGGACTGGACTGACCGAAGAGAAAAGAGCATACTTATAGATAGTGCATTAGAATTTAGAAGGGTTAGCAAATGCGGTACATACAGCACAGTTCTAAGATTTCGCTATACTATGTTAGCACAGCGCATACGTTAACCTTTCCAACCCCTAAAAAAACCAGGTTACAACACTCCATCCATCCCATCACCATCACCATCTCACCCTTCCCTCCCCCCCTCTTTCCCAAACAAAAATAAATAAAACCCCATTTCCGAAGCTTAACTCGGCTATTGGGATATCGCGACATGCAACAAAATTCCCCTTCGAGGTTTTTCCGGGAGAATCGCGCGGTTCCTTTTTTTTCTTTTTTTCGCTCGTGTTAGAGAGGGATTGGTAGGTTGTGGTGGGCGGTGTGGTGTGTGTGTATGTTGTTAGGTAGGTGTGTTGTTGGGGGTGTGCGAGTCGTCTTGCTAGGCCTTCTGGCTCTTTTGCTTGCTTTTGGGAGGTGTGTTGGTGGATTGGGTTGGAAGCCGGTGGGAGGTGACCAATACAGTAGTATACGAGGGAAAACGCGAGCCGTGGGGAGGGTAGGGAAGCAAGTAAAAGTCAATAATGGTACTTGAGTACATCCCCTCGTACTCTTACAAATGGTAGCGCACTTAGCCTAAGTCCTACATACTGTGCGTAGCTAGATCCCGTTCCGTCAATGCAAGGCCTCACGAACGCTGTAAACTCGCCCCCGTGATGATCCCTCGGTGACCGAAGGCAAAATCGCGATGAGCAACAAAATTCCGGAAAGGTCTTGAAAGGGGGCTTGGCTTGGTTTGAATGTGTTGTTGGGGGAGGGGGAGAGAGGGTGCGGTGGCTGGATTGGGAGGGTTTTTGTGTGTTGTGTGGGGGGGATGCGACGTTGAGGGGGAGGGGGTGGTATTAGGGTTGGAGTATGGGTTGGTGGGGTGTAAGTGTGGTGTGGT